GATTTGTATATTGTGTAGGTATATTCCATCATGTATAAAGATTGTATAGGTAATTATATAAGTGATGATTTTAATCTGCTCATTCGAAAATATTATGTTAACACTTATACGTGTTATATCTCCCTGTCATTTTCTGTAAAATGATTAAGAATTTTTTTTAAATTTCTTTACCTACCGCTAACGGTTTTCATATAGGCAGGTATAAATCTTAACGGACTAATAATAGATATAAGTAATCGAAATTCGTCCATAAAAACAAAACCGCAGGCCGCAGCACGTTGGCTCGTATAGGCCTATGCAAATTGATGACCGATGTAAATAAATTATACTATAATATGCTGCATTGAGGTCAACCGATTTTATATTCGTATTAATAATATTTTTATTATGAACGACCGCGGACATAATACGAATAACTGTGTATAGGTTTAAGTACAGCCGAGGTATATAGATTTACTTATACCTAACATACATTAACATACAATATGAATTCAACCTTTGAAAAAAAAAAGCAAATTTCATGACATTGATAATTATATACATATATAGCACCTCAAGACTACGTGAGTATAAAGTTTGTATAAAATTCCTACTTTTTTTCGGTAAAAATCCATCAATCGCGATCCTTAGTTTTCAAMCGTGTCTAATCGCCATACCAAAACAGTATTATATACCTATCTAAATTATTTCAAAGCCTCGCAGAACCATGGTCCATGGAGGCCTTCCCCTTCCGATGTTTCATAAACGAATGCCAAATAAATGGTTACAGCATAAATGAAATTAATACGATTAATAATATAATATTATTATTGTTCACTGCAGTTGCTGCACACCCGCGCCTATCTTATACGTATAATATATAACTCACAAAATACAAAATATTACATTGAACATACTTTGTACATTATCTTTATACTTACTTTTAAGTAAACTTTTTACTCAACAATTAAAAATTTCTTTACTAAAAAAAATATTATATAACAAAATATAATTATTACAAATTCATTACTAACACATATTTTATTATTTAATAATAAGTATGCTATCAAGTATCAATAATCGATTCATATGACTACGTCACTATACCGGCAGATTTGTAACATACGTACCTACTTACTTACTTATCTTTAAAAATGTACACCAGACGAATAATTAAATTGATTGTGTGACATACATTTTGTTTATCTAGAAAAATTAGCATTTTAACCACCAACCTATATTTACACCTCAGGTCTATATTAAGTTAAGACCAATTTTATGATATAAAATCGTTTGAACTGTAGACTAAAAAAAAACAAGGCCGGTGAAATAGATAACTGATTTTCTGTACATGCAGATAGCTAGATTTCGAGTGTAACGAGACAGACTCTGTTATATGGATATATATTTCATATGATGTATACTTGAATAGTTGAATTCAAATTTTAATGATAAATCATAGTGTGCGATGAAAAATGATTCTGACTATTAAAAATTTGGGATACAAAATAACTATTTTTTATAATCTGTGCAACATAAAATATTATAAGTTATATATAGGTACAAAAAATAAAAATGTCTTTACGGCTTGCATGGGTGTCCAGTAAGCAGTAAGCAGTAAGCATGTAAGCAATAACGCCACATCAACATAATATTTTACCTACAGGCTACAGGTACCACAGAAACTAATATAATTTATGTATTTATTGGCTATTGCATTATCTTATTATTGTAATTATTTACCAAAATAAATTATGTTTGTATAATATATCTAGTCAGTTTTGTCGAAGATTGGGGATTGAGTTCAATTTTCTTTGCCACAATTTAGGTACATATCAATTTTTAGAAATCTGGTACTTCTGCGGTAATTTATAATTTGACCTGATGACATAAACGTGAGATAATATGAATATATGATACTATTATTGTATAGAGGTATCTTCTATACCTATAACAGTTTTAGTAAATAGTAACAACTCATTAAGGTTGATCTATTATAAACAAATATTATTGACATTTTTAGCCGATGGGAATGAATTTGTTTTTTGTGACCACAGATATTTTCTAATGTATTTTGACATTTTTAATTATTGCGCTAAATTTTGCACGCTAACCTTAGTTTTGTATTTTGTCATTATTGTTCGATTTATTAATTGCATTTTTCGACAAATAAACGGCATCGCTGGTCATCAAATATATTATTATGTCTTTGCTTTTGTGAAAATGTATATAAGTTAATCATAGGAATGTAAATACAATCGTGTGTCCACGGGCGAAGTGCAAAATTAAGGTTTATCGCTAATGAAAAAAAACCCATTTTTTCTCACTCATCACTAAGAAATACACAATTTGGGAACCCACCGTCGCGGGATTTTCTTTGTTCTACTGTAAGCCTATATTATATTATTATATAGACACGGAATCTGCAGCAGTCTGCGAGATATTCATATTATATTATTGTTAATTGCGATAAACTCTGACTTTTGATCTGCGTATCACTTGTATATAACTCTTACCTATCAATCTCCTAATAATATATCTTTTATTATAAGAGATTATCGAAAACGTTTTGATTAAGTTTACACGGTTTGTTTTTTCCCGTCATTGGCATCCGACTATTATTATATTATTGTTATACTTACACCATACATAAATGAACAAAATCGAAAGGTCTCTGATTAGTTATATAACTGCTTTAGATGTATATTATTATAATTTATAACTGAATTATAACATTATAAGATTATATATGTGGTTGAACGTGGAAATTCGTATGCATGTTGAGTAAGTAACAATTTATACACATGCTTACTAGGTACCTATTATATAATATTATATATTTTATAATAAACTAACCTCTATTACTGCTCACTTAGCATATTATATTGTATTTATTTGCTCTTCGACATGACGTTCGCTCTCAAATTATGTGTACAACAATTGAATTGGTCATTCAGTTGTCTACATAAAAACTAAAATAACAACGGTACAATAATAATTGGCTCGTGCAAATAATTTAATACGACAATCGTTTTCCATTGTCGACTAATGATTAATCAATCGTCAAACAACTCATACCAATAAATGAGGTGTTTAAACAACTACGAATCCGTGTGAATCAGAATTCCCGTGTATTTCATGTTGCAGAAACCTCTCGGTATACTACTGCAGGTACATCTAGTACCTACAATAGTCTCGTAAAGAATACTTTTATTTTGCTTTCAAATATACTTGAATGAATTGAAAATATATATCCGTCGTGTAAAAAACGTCCGGTTTCTATATAACACATTTTAATTCTAGCAGTAAACGCACAATTTGCTGCACAGTATTCATATATATAGTTAAGTACCTGGTAGGTACAAGTATTATGTGAATAATTCAAATAATAATTACTTTTATTGTGTACTCGAAAAAACTTTTGTGTAGTATCTTTTCAATTGATATTCGACATTTCGACGCCGATTAAAATATTGTCGATTAAAGCTATGGGATAGCGACCATATTATAGAATATCATCAGCGCAAAACAATAATAAAGTCTAGACTTTAATGGTACTCAAATAATATATACAATACATCACACGTAGATACCTATTTCCTGTTATTGGTTAAAATACACAATTAATCAAAACAGCTTTAAGAGCATTTCAAAAAAACAAAAAAAAATATCAAGGTTGATAATATCAATAGGTATACTTAATACTTATATTTTATAATATATATGGCAAATCGCTAACACTACTTAGACGCATTCATTTCCAACATCAGTAAATGTTTTAACCATATAATATGTTATCTGAATCTTAAAACGACAAACGTATTTCATATAATGTAGGTACATAATATTATATAGTCAACACGAATACAACAAGCATTGTTATAGAACTATTATTTATCATAGCCTGCAAGTTATGTTGCCCGATGTACCTATAATCTTGATAGATAAAATATATAATTGTTATTATATTAGTATTTATCAAAGTGCCTAACTAGTTTATTAGGCACTGAGGGCATGTTGATATTTGATAAAATGTGTCGGTGAGCCATCATATATTGACCTCACTCTGCAGTAAGTTCCTACCTATACAATAAACTCATATTTGTAAATGGAACAATGATAGAGTTTATTTAAGGTACTTATTACTGCAATGTGCGGATGATGTGACGGTTTGAATAATTATCGATATGTTATCTAAATGTATAATATTATCAAATAGGTCAAGTTATATTGCGATTCAATGTGCATGTATAAAGTTATACATTTTTTGTCTTCAGCACTACGCGATCCGAGAGGAGCAACTACAAATATTCAAGATTATATATTATAGTATACTATTAGATACTTGTAATATTATAATAATAATTTTATTATTACAATTATTTGTAACGTATATATGAAATAAAATATGATGACGATGAAAAGCATTGCACAGTTCGTTTTTATGATGTCTATTGACTTCAGCTGTAGTGTTCTAATGTCCTCGACGCTTAGAAATAATCAGAACAAACAATATGTATTGGTAAAATATATAATACGCATTAGCAGTTTTGATGTGATTTTAGAGTGCCGCATTATACGCAAATTATATACGACCACGACCGTCATTCATCTCTATTTGTAGTCCTTTTAATTCACAGATAAAAATAATTTTTACATTCGTTACACACCGTTATTTTATATCGTTGTCAAAATGCTTAAAAATTTGTAGTAAAAACTTCGAGATATCTCGTTTGAAAAAAACCACATGAGACATGTTCCATAGAGGAGACAGGACCATTACTCGTTCCATTTAGCATTTAATAAATTATAAAATAACGTATTACAGGCATACGGCATATCAATTTCCACTAAATTCCCAAAAGTCAAGATTTCAATTAGTACCTATATGAATTAAACTACAAATACAGTGAAACTTATCACTATCGGTCGTTGAAACTTTGTCCGTTAGGAGAGGTTTTCACGCATATCTTCTAAACCTCACAGCTAAATCGTTTTTTTTTTTGTTTTTGTTACAACAGGTGATGAGGGTAAAATGTCAGATTCGCTCAAATGGTTCGCTTTCGTGTCGTACGGCGTCGGTCACGTTCTCAACGACCTGGTCGCCTCCATGTGGTTCACGTACGCCTTGGTGTTCTACCACTACGTCATGCAGCTGTCCAGCATCAATGCCGGGGCCGTGGTGCTCGTCGGCCAGCTAACAGATGCGGTTGCGACGGCCGCCATAGGCGTTTTATCGGATAACGCTAACATCTATTGCACCGATCGATACGGCCGTCGTAAGACTTGGCACCTCTTTGGTGAGATATATTTTAATACTTAATCGTTACGACAGATATTGCCTATTCACGTGCACACGTATAGATATTGGGAAACTGTGGGTGGAGGGTAACTGCAGCAGGTAACCAAGTTATAAACCTTGTACCTTACTGGTAAGTCTATAACAGTGAAAAATATATTAACTAATTTTTATATCTGATCAATCGTCGTATCATAATTTCCCTTTCAGTTATCGATAAGTGGAGACAAAATATAACTTATAAGCTTCTGTATCCTTGCCTTTATAGATTTCCTATACTAAACTAAAAAAAAAAGGAGATTCAAAAGTCAATATTATTGATTGAATGACATGCGGGCTATTCAATGTATAGGTAAAAATGTTCAAAGTTGCAAGATTGGTTTAAAAAATCTAATTCCCAGACTGTCTTATGTTTAAATATACCACACCTATACGCTATAAATTATAATATTGGTAAAATATGATTTACTGATTTCTTTCATCGTTTCCGCTGTATAGGTAGTGTACTTGTGTTCATAAGTTTACCGTTTGCGTTCTCGCCGCCCATATTGCCACAAGCCGAGAGCTCCGAACTGAACACCGCTCTATACTATTGTTTCTTCATCGTCTTCTTCCAAATCGGATGGGCATCCATCGAAAACTCGCACATGGCGTTGGCTTCGGACCTGACGCCAATAAGGGACGAACGAACAGCTTTACTATCCATCAGGTATTAAAACAAAATTGTCAAAATTAACAACAATATATGTATAGCATGAATAAAAGTACAATAGTATAATTATGCATGCTTCCTATTTTATGTTTTATTTGTTAATCATAACTTTTATGTGCGTTTGCAATTCTTAAACAGGTATAGTTTTACCGTCTTTTCAAACATCTTGGTGTACGTAGTCACCTGGATCGTGCTCAGAAGTAACAATGCGAGCAAAACTCAATTTGGACCTTCAGAAAGAAAAGAATTTCAAGTACATATAATATGCTTTTTTGTTTTATTTTTCTAAACTAGGTATATACACGACACACGTGTTGTAACCGCGTATATTATCTATATTTCCTCTCCACTTTATAAATTTACAAAAGCATCGCTCACATAGAGTTTAATTAGTTATATAATATGATTAATAACAATAATTGTTTACTGTATCTTCATTCTTCATATATTATGTATATTGTTCGTTACGAAAATATCAGTAAACGCTCACGATATTATATAGATGGTATAGTGGTATTACTGTATAAACCTTGTATAAAAATCAGTTTCTACAGGATACCACTAGTGCCCACACGGCATGCAGCTACATTGGTACATGCATATTTCTTGTGGCATATACATGTAGATAATTAAAATATGCAATTCTATATTTTATTACACAAAAACAAAATTAGACATTATAGACAAAAAATAATTTAACATTAAAATACATTTTTTTTTTTAAAGGTGGGAAAAAGTCCGAATTTAAAGATATACTTGTAGAAAATAGCCATGGGGGAAATGTCCAAAAGGATTTTCCATTAATCACACTATGGATCGAATTCTTAAGAGATTTGATACTATATTGTGCTATTTTACCGAAATATCTTAATTTAATAATTTTAATTAAAAATTTGTTTAGGTTGTAAAGTAAACTTACAAATGCTTGCCAATTTTACGGAATCAAACAAAACCTGTTTTGAACGTGTGGGTGAAAAAGATGCAGGGCTACTTGAAGTTGGCTCATCTTTCTTCATTTTTGATCAGTTCTTGAAAATAACGACTTGCAAATTTTAGAACATTAGGTACTTGACAATAATTATTCGTTGATTTGAGTTGGATTGATTTGAGAGAAAGTGGATGGCCAATTCTACAGCTATCAATAGTTTCTTCCTAAAAAATTTGCGACGAAAAACAAACATTTTCTTATTTAAAAAATTATGACAATCCCGTTTATAGCTATCACATTTATTGATTAAAAAAAATATCATAAAACAAACTTAAATTATGTTTTTATAGATAGTCATATTGGTGATAATGATTGTCGGTGCTATGACGACCATAATATTTCACATTGGAGTACGCGAACCACTTACTAACAATCGTGTGAATCGACAGCTTCTGATGACTGAAACGGAGGCTGAACGCGCAGCCAACAGTTTTTGGTCCATGTTCAAACGCATCACTCTTTACCAGACTGCCATCGTGTACATGAGTTCTCGGATCACGGTCAACATGACTTTGGTAAAAAATTTGCGTATTTGCATAGAATATTTTATGTTTTATTGGACCCGCGCTGAATACTGTATTTGAATTATTGTTATTACCAGGGTTGTGAATTTAATACATAAAAAAACTTTATTAGAAAAGATGAAAATTAATACAAATAAGTATCAAAAAA